CTTTTCTTAGGGTGTTTCACAAAGAATGTGCAATCTGCCATGGTATTTTACAACACAGCAACAAACACACATACAGCAAATAAGAGAAACACAAGTCTACCTGGTGTAAGAATGTTTTTTGGGTTCTCGCAGAAATGAGTACTGATGGCTGTCATTGTTAGCACTATGGGAATTCTTTTATTTTTTACCTAATCTGTCACTTGCATGAATATATATGTCTATTTATCACTGTATTCACATTCAATAGTAATTCGAACCATTTTAGACTGATTTTGTCTAATAAGCTTAATAAATATTGAATTATCCAATGTTACTCTCATATCTAATGTAATTGAATAAATAAACAATGACATCACTGATTTGCAGTTGAAATTGTGAAATGCAGGGACAATAATTCCTACAACACATTCTCAGATTTCTAAAACTCTCACTATGTCTGTCCATCTTCTACAGCTATCATCGAGTGACAATATTGTAACAGAGGTTAGTAAAATAAATTTATGAAGAGACAAAATCTTATATTTTTATTTCTCAGCATTTTTGCCAATTTCTTAAGTTTTTCATGTTAGTTAAAATTTTTAAAAATTAATGTGCATGAAATCAATTTTAACTAGTACATGGGAAATGGGATTAAACTTTCTTGTGTATAACGACAGTAAAATATTCAGATCACAACATTTATGTACTTGAGTATGTCTTAACTTTCCTTGATTTTGAACACAGTTGAGTGCACATTCAGAAAAATTATAATTTTTTTTTTCTATTTCTTTCCTTTGGGTCCTGGACAGATCCTAACTTTGCTTCTGTGATAACCTGGGCTCCCTTTCTCTTTCTCTGAAGCATTTTCCCTGCAATGTGGATTCTCCATGTCTGTCTAACCAGATAGTCCCTGAGGCCCAGTAATATTGCATGCTTATATTATAAATCATCCCATTAGGCTGAATATCAGCTATCCAAATAAGGAAAAGTGTGTAGGTTAAAAATCTGGGATATTAGATTTCTTTGTCCTTTGTAAGTCTCCTAATGTTAATTAAAGATACCCCCAGTCACTGTAAGTATGTCGGTCAATGAGCTGACAGTCTTTTTAATTTATATCTCTATGTAGTATGAGGGCATGGTCTTAGCATAACCAGCAATTCTGGCTAATTTTGGATGGGAATGATATAACTCTATCCCTAAGGTCCCACCTGAAGAATAGAGTCTGATTGCTTAGTTTATTCCTATGTCCCAAAGACCAAAATCTTTAAATCAATCTTTTCAGGACTCTCCAGTTTTACAATGGAAACCTCATTGATGCTGGCAACTAGGGGACAAAGCCATGGGGAATGCATGGAATTGTAAACTCTGTATTACTATCTAAAAAGATAAACTCTCATGTTGCTTGAGGACTTCTCTCCAGGTTTCACCAAGCCCCGCAGTCCCACAATCCACGTATAAAATAATCACTCAGATACTTATATTATTTATAAACTGTATGGCCGTGGCAGGCTTCTTTCTAACTGTTATTATATCTTAAATTTAACCCATTTCTATAAATCTATACCTTGCCACGTGGCTGGTGGCTTACTGGCATCTTTACATGTTGCTTGTCCTGGCGGTGGCTGCAGTGTCTCTCGCTCCTTCTTCCTGTTTCCACAATTCTCCTCTCTCCTTGTCCTGCCTATACTTCCTGTCTGGTCACTGGCCATCAGTGTTATATTTATATAGAGCGATATCCACAGCACTCTCACGTCCTTTATTTCTCCATCACAGCCAAACACTTAAAGTAGGCATCAGTGAGTAAAGGTCAAGATGAGATAAAGGCTGCTGGTGTGTAGTCACATTAGCTAATACCTTCCATGTATCTGTCATGCTCAATCTCCTGTCCAGTCCTGAGAGCAGTGAGCCTTGGACCATGACCCTGTGTTTGTACCCATAGTGAAAAACACAAGATTCAGTAAGAGGTACAAGAGCAGGGATCGCAAGAACCTGGGGACCAATGAAACCTTATTATTAATGGGCCCATAGATCAGAGACATTCCATTTGAGAATAGCATCTGTGGCATCTACTTTCTTTATCTGGGTGAGGTGGCTGTCTGTGATGTAAGAGCACCTACATTCACCACCAGAGGAGTAGAGAGAAAGACCTTGTAGGGTCTTAAACAGGTAAGCTACAGTGTCCCTTTGGCTACTCACTTGACATAGAGGATATCACTCTACTTAAGCAATGTGAAATTGGTGGTGGACTCAGAAGATGGCTGGGTCTCAGATAATTCAGTGAACAGCCTGTGTGGGAACTGGAATGCCTTTAGTGACTGGATAAGGGAATGACTAAAGAGTTTTGTCAACTGCTTGTCTGAGCCTGGGAAGCAGGTGGGGAAATCTTCCAAATATAATCTAATGGGTAGTTAATCCCTCCCTATATGGGGAACAGTAAACTGAGGCACAGTAAATGAGGAAGCCTATCCACCTTTTTCTGGACTCTAATAAGAATTTTGTTGGAGTTTGATTTGATGGCCTGTTTGTTCTTTCTGCCAGCTCAGAACTCTTAGGTCTATACAGAGTGAGGTTTATGCTCTATTTCTAAAGCCACAGTTATTAATTAAGATGGTTTAGGTTATGAAAATCATGATATTGTTGGACCCTATTGCTAGAAGGAAGCCAAATGGGAGTACCTATTTATGTCTGAGCTTTTTAGCTACTATTTGAACACTTTTAGTCTATGTGGGGAACACTTCTAACCACTTAAAAAATTATCTTTTAGGAAGTTGAAAGTACTTTTCCCTTCCACTGCAAGCCAGATCTTGGCTGAAGTCAGTTTTTCCAAGGTTTCACAGGGTGTTAGTCTTTCATTTGGATCCCTTTCTGGGTAAGGTCTCTCTGTTTTTGATTTACTTTGACACAATCTTGGTATATTGCTGAGATATGCCATTCTAGTGTGTAGAGTATATCTATAACATAATTTGGTCTGAACAACTCAGAAAGTGTTGTGGTACCCAGGAGAATTGCCTGGTGAAGGTTTGTTACCAGAATCCATCCAGTTATTTCTGAGAGAATGAACTTTTCCTCTGGTACCCTCCATCAACACATAGGTGACAGAGGAATGTCTGTCTGTATACTACAAATATGTGTTGTTCTGATTGGTTGATAAAGCCATTGGCTTATGGCAAAACAGCTTGGAGGAAGCAGGAAATTCAAAGAGAGACATAGGAAGAAGGCAGTGAGAGACACCAGCAAGCCACTCAAGGAGCAACATGAATTGGTATGCAAATAAAGCCACAGAATATGTGGTGATACATAGATTAATAGTTATGTACTAATTTAAGATATAAGAGCTAGCTAGCAAAAACCTTGAGCCATAGCCATGCAATTATAATTAATATAATCCTCTGGAGAGATTTGTCCCAACTGCGATCAGGCCATGACATAGGAAATCTCCTGGCTACATATTCTTTTGTCAGACCATTTTCTTTACACTGCAGTCTCAGGTAGCACTGGTTTGTGGTGTATATCATCAGAACATCAATAAGTTTTAGTGTCATTTGTCAGACAGTGAGTGAACCTGTGTGTCCATGGAGGACAGCAATTTTTAGAGGAAGCCATGTCAATGCAAGGATGGCAAGATTTTTTAATTTCCTTTTTTGCAGCAATGAGAAGTCATCTTTCTCTATAGATCACACAGTTGACATACCCACTTGTAAAATCATATCAACTGATGGTCCATGTATATAATAGTGGAGTTTCATTTTCCCCATCTGAGATACTGGGCTAGATCAATCAGTTCCTCTACATGGGATGAGGTTCCTGGTTTAGGCACAAATAATTTTATTAAAAGTAAGTATTGCATCTACCATGCTCCTGGTTTCATCTTTCATCTGGTAACAGTTTTGTATGAGCACCTGTAGGTCATCATCAGACAAGAGGGATAGCTGGATTGATGACACTCTGAACTCAAGTTGGGGGCAGGAGTAGAGTCTTGTACTGTGTCAAACAGTCATTAAACAGTTGATTGTTTTTCCTCAGTAGAAGACTTCATTTTTCCTAGATACTATGAGTATCAGATCTTAACACATTTAACTTGATTGCATTCTTTTATTAAGCTAGCAGTGCTCACCATAAACATTTGACAGATAGGCCATCCTATGGCTACAGAGTCTAATCCTTTGTACTAATGTATCACAGGGAATTTCCATGGTTCCAACATTTGGGTAAATACCCCTGTGTCTTTGGCAATGAAAAGGTTTTGTAGCATCTGGAAGTTCTAGTGCTGGAGTCAAACAGATATATATATATATATATATATATATATATATATATATATATATATATATATATTTAAAATTTTTTGAGACAGAGTTTCTCTGTATAGCTTTGCGCCTTTCCTGGAACTCACTTTGGAGACCAGGGTGGCCTCAAACTCACAGATATCTGCCTGGCTCTGCCCCCCCAAGTGCTCAGATTAAAGGCATGTGCCACCATTATTAAAGCCTTGAATGTCTTTCATTTAGTCTCAGTTAAGGTTAGGAGCTTAGTTCTCTGACTTTGTGCTTATATAGAGAGGGATTGAAGTTTCCACAAACAATGAAATACCCAGCTGCACCCAGGAATTCTGGAATCTGTCCCTTAGTCTTTGACGTTGGAATCAGCAGTTCCATGTGGTCTGTAATTTCCTCAGGTATGTTTTATATTTATGTATAATTTCTCTGCAGGTATAATTTTAAAATATACCAATTGGTTCTGGCCATGGTATATGCCATTGAGGAGATCAACAGGAACCCTCATCTTTTACCAAACATATCTCTAGGATTTGACTTCTATAATGTCCCATACAGTGAGAAAAACATTCTTATGAATTCTCTTATTTGGCTCACAGGCCTGAGTAGATTTCAGAGTCTTCACTCTAATTATAACTGTGTGAAGGAGAGAAAGTCAATTGCTGCAATAACAGGACCATCGTGGGCAAAATCGGCCCATATTGGGACACTGCTTCAGCTCTACAAATTTCCACAGGTGAGGAGTTGTATGGGATAAAAATGCAGATGTCCTTTGCTGACATATCATGTGTGTCTATAAGTAAAAAGGTATATTAGGATGAGTTAGATATAAATGACAATTGTCCATTTGGAGATGGACCTCTATTTCAGACAGTGGGAAAAGAAGGGGGGTGTTACCATAGACAAGGAGTATTAATAAAAATAGAAAATAAGCCAGTAATTTTCTGAAAAGTTCTTTCACAGAAATTTGCCTTCAAAATCAGGGTGAATCCATCATTGTGCTAACAATTTTCATCTGTTTCTGCAGCACAAGGATTGTGCATGATGTCATTGTTCTTTCTCTTGTTTCCAATTTTTTCTCTTCAGCTCACTGTTGGTCCTTTTGAGCCTCTCTTCAGTGACCAATGTCAATTTACTTCTCTCTACCAGATGGCCCCCCAAGGCACAAATCTGTCTCTTGCAATGGTCTCTTTGATGCTTCATTTTGGCTGGACCTGGGTTGGGCTGCTTATCACAGATGATCACAGAGGGACTCATTTTCTAGCAGATATCAGAAAAAAGATGGAGAAAAATCAAGTCTGCATAGCTTTTGTTGAAATGATCCAAAGCACCTGGAATTCATTTTCATATAAGTACTGGAAAAGTCTTGGCAT